ATGTCTTCACATGAGGTTAATGTGAACACAGCTGAGTTTTAGCTGCTGAATGCTGTTCATTTGTTTCTTTCTGGGGCAGTGGGGTCTTGGATGGGGAGAGATGGGCTACATTAGGATGAGCAGGAACAATTTCAATTGTTCTGGGCTTATTTCCAAGTTACCCTTTGATCTGAACAGATGGAAATAAGGGGCAGGGGGCATATAATTTACTTAAAAATCAAATGATCTTTTTTAAGTTTTATTTCTGGTTCGGTTTCTGGTGTTTTGTTTGTGTTTAATGGACTAACCTTATAATGACTGCAAACACATGTAAATAAATAAATGTTTGACACTAAGATGTAAACATTTACTTTTGTGTGTTTTACTTTGTTGGTGGTGCGTGGCTTAATAACCATGCAGTGGAATTTAGATTTAGAATCTGTTGTCTGTTGGTCAATCCAAAGATTTTTACAAATCAGATTAGCTGATTAGCCCCAAGCTTTTAGTGTAGAGTCTGCATGGATTACATTTTAGTTTCATTGAAGAGCAAATTTGGTGGACTCTGTGTCTATCACTCTCTATTTTTTTTAAATGACTAAAGATGCAAAAGCATGCCTGTTAAAAAAAGCTGGAAAAGCTGCTAATAATAACAAACACTCCAATCTGTGGTTAAAGTAGAAATGCGGAGTACAAGTCATGCGCAAAGCAAACATCTTGACATTATTTTGGGTTCATAAGCTAGTTTGAGTCAACATAAATAATTCTAAATAAACCATTTATGTTGTCCAAAAGTCTGATGTTTCAGAAGCAGTCTCAAATACTTCCTGCTTCTATGGCCTTTGGTTTGCAAACATTAGATGAAAGATATAAACTGAAAACTTTTGTAGATGAATGTCTCCTCTCTGGATTCTCCTGTCTGAATTTAACGTTTTGTGCTTCCTCAGTTACAGTTTTACTTCCTTCAGCATGTTGTGATTTGAATTTTTTTTTTTTTTTTACATTCATTGATCACATGCAGGAAAGGACAGAGACATAAAACTGAAAGGCGATGTGGACATATAACACCGTAATGGAGGCTAAGTCTGGCTGACTGTTATGTAAAAAAGACAATAGAAATTTAAAGCAGCCAACTGTCAAGTGTGCAAAGTTAAATAGTCATAATCAAGCATAATTTGACGAGCCTGAGCTTGTCGAGCACAGCTAATACGCTTTTTTCCCTTTTACTTACTTCCGAAAAGAAAACCTAATTTCTGCTGTTCAATGGGCTCCTGAACAAATTTAAACTTTTTAAAATTATGCAAAATGCAAAACGCTTAGCCGTGTCTCTAATAAAACTGCTGTAACTTCAGAGGTAATGTTCATATGTTAATTGATGGTTATCTTTCATTTTTGATGTACTGCAGAATATTTTTATAAAATCCCAAGCCAGGAAAATCATCTTCATGTTTTTCTGTGTTTTATCCTCAGCTACTTTGACACAAAGGCATCTGCTGTGATGCTCACACCTTTGATAAAGTCTTGCGTGTGTCAGCTTCCTTTTTATAGATACAAAAATATGTAAATGTACTGATCTGAATTATAATATTTCTGACTGTCTGAGGCAAAATTTCCCATATTCAAATCGAATTGAATCAAATCGAATCGAACTGAATTGAATTGTGGATCGAATCGATTCAGGACCTTCAACACACCTGAATCAAATGATTACTTCATTACCAGGCCTCTGGAGAACTTCAAGACATGTTGAGGAGGTAATTTAGCCATTTGAATCAGCTGTGATGGATCAAGGACACATCTAAATCTGCAGGACACCGGCCCTCGAGGCCTGGAGTTGGACACCACTGGTCTAGGTTACGCATTCTTGTGTCAGGTTCCTTTTGTGTCTCCTGTGAGAGTCTGTGTATGTTCTTTAAGTTTTGTCCGTGTCTCCCTTTTCTGTTCCCATGTTTCATTCCATGTCTCCCTTGTCTGAGTTGTGCATGTTCTCCCCAGCCCGTCATCTCCCTCTCCCTCTGTGTCCCTCACTCCGCGTCCCAGTCATGTCATTGTTTTTCTCTCCCAGTTCCATTTCCACGTCTGTTCCTTGGTCCCAGTGTCAAGACTATGTGTCTTAATCTGCATGTTTCCTGTTTTATTTTGACAGTCTCTCATCTTGTGTTCAGTGTGTTCTGTTTTAATTCCTTTGTCTCGTTATGCCTTAACTCGTTCCAGCTGTGTTCCCTGTGTGTTTCCACTTCCCTCATCACCTTCATGTGCATTTATTGTGTGAGTTTCCCTTTGTTCATTGTCAAGATCGTCGGTTAACCTTCCCTGTGTTTCTATGGTCCATGTGTTCGGGGATTTCATGTTTCATGCACTTATTTTCCCAGTTCAAGTTTTATGTTAGTTTCTTCCTTCCTTTTTCCTTTCTTTTGGTTTATGTTTTCGTTTTCAGCGACAAGAAGTGCTCGCTTTTCGTTAAAGTTTAATTCTGCCTCACTCATCTGCATCTGGTTACACACACCACAACCTCCACACAATCTGCGGCCTGGATTGTGACACTATTAGAGTGTTTTTTATTAACATTTATTTTCAAAAAGTGGAACAGGACAGAGACATTTATTTTCTTTCTTCATACATGTTGGTTGATTAGAAATTCAATAACAGTGTAATTCTGAGAACTGAGAAGGGAAAGAAATGGATGACAGTAATGGCAAAAACAGTCAAAACATGTTTGACAAGCTGCACTGGTTTAATCACAAGTTAAATTTTCCGTCAAAGTTCTTCCTCTGCTCGTGCTTTATGTTTAAAAATCACTCAGTTATACGGACATAATAAATGTTATGAGTAATCAGAGTGATCACAGTTCAGCCTTTTTTATATTGGTGTGCATATCATTTTCAGCTGCTTATGTTTTCTTTAGTGTCTAAAACCTTTAATTTGATTCTCTTTACAAATAAGTCTGACCTTTGCTCATCATCACTACAGGTACACATACAATTCAAGTGATATAGTTTGTCTTTTTTCAAATTTCTTTTTTCAAAAACAGTTGAAGAAAAAACTTCCCCTACTACAACAACTTCTTCTCTTTAACTTTGTCAGACATTCTTGATGAGATTTTCCAAGATATGGTAAATGGCCTGCATCTGTATAGCGCTTTTCTAGTCCCTAAGGACCCCAAAGCGCTTCACACTACATTCGGTCATTCACCCATTCACACACAGGCGATGGCAAGCTACATTGTAGCCACAGCTGCCCTGGGGCGAGGCAGAGGACTTCCGGACACTGACGCCACCGGGCCCTCTGACCACCACCAGTAGGCAAACATGGGGTTAGTATCTTGCCCAAGGATATTTGACATGCAGCCAGGAGGCAGCCTGGGATCAAACCACGGACCTTCTGATTAGTGGCTGAGCTGCTCTGCCACCTGAGCTACAGCCACCCCACAAGACAAACAGGAACTGTGGATTCAAAATTTGTGATGAGTAACAATTTACTCATCACATATTGACTTCATTTACTTCATCAAAATCTATAGTCTGTAATGTTTTATGATTTTTAAATCAAATAAAATGTGAATTTTGACCTTTGACTTGTGCTAACTTTTTTTTATATCACTGCATTATTTTGTGACAAATTTGAACTTGTCATGATTTTTAAAATCTAATAAGACATTTCTCAGTGAAAAAGTCATCCACGGAGGCTCTACAGAGCAGGTTAATCAGCTTTATTTTCTTGGAAGCACAAAAGTCTGCAGAAAACTGAATAGAAAGAAAAATCACTCAAGTGCTGAATATCTCTGTGTGGATAAAAGTAGATTAATTAACACAGTTTCTAATGATAGAAACCACTGCATGGTTATTAAGTCACACAACAAAGTGTAACACACACAATCTCATGAACCGAAAGTTCACCAAGGAGTGGACCCAAATGCAGACACCAAGACGCAGAGGAAACTATTTACAAGAGTTATTATTTGACAGCAGAGTTTGTGAGCCAGATTAGAAATGGCTATGGGGAGTGGTGAGTGGAGCTGAGAAGGGAGCTGGATCACAGAGGGGGTCACGGCGAGAGACAGAGAGGCAAAAGGGATCCTGTAACAGACAGAGACAGAGTTATTGTATGGATAATGAGCAGTCAACTCAGAGTCTTTTGCTGGTGAGTTTATTCTGCTTACTTCCAGGTCCAGGCTTTGAAGGCCCTGAGGAAGGGAGGTCCGTGGGAATTTCCAGTGTATTCGTGGTATAATGGCAAGTTATGCCGCTACGCTAGTTACCGCCATGGAGAGCATAATGAACTGCCGAGTAAAAGCAGGTTGCACAGGTTTAAGTAGCTCTCCCACTGATTGCTTGCACATGAGCACTAGATGAGACACATGAAGCTTCACCCCAGTGGGATGGACAGCAGCTGAACACTGATGACAAAGTATATCCTTATTATCAAGGAACACATTACATTATAACAGGATTGGGCCAAAACAGGTGAAACTGAATATGCCAATGGAAGATCAAGCAGAGGTATCTATGCCACATTTCAAAAGGGGAAAAAGACATTTTCAATGAATAAAATCAAATTTCAGAGTAGTGGCATTTAGAGAATAGTGTTTTTAAGTAGACCAATGGGAGAAATATACCACAGCCTTTTTTGTCCGTTTGAATAGTCACAATATATATCAGTCTAGGACTGTTTTGTCACTGAGCCCAGAAACACCTGCAAAAACTTTGTGAGACCAAAGAAGACCAAGAAATGCTGATTATCATGAAGGGTCCTCCACCTAATCACTTCAGTGAACAACTGTGAGAGGTGTAAAAAGCCAGACGTTCTGGTCAAATCCTGCAACAAGCTACTGAAACGCTGATCATGTCCTCCTGATGATTCATGACACTTAAGTTCCTTGTTTTTGCTGAGGCTGAATAAAACGTTTTCTTAAATTTGTGGCACTGTGCGATCCTCCTCTTAATGTATAGCTCCACCTTTTTCTATTTCAGTGCCTAACATTCCTTCTCTTCTTTGAAGAGCTGCTGAAAAACACCTGACTGACTGGTATGAAGTAATCATAACAGGTAGTCAGGTAAATAAAAACACCTCTCTGACACAGAGCTGTATCTCACACAGGTGGTTATTCTTCAGTCTTCACAACAGACAAAGACAACGAGACAGGTAAGTAGCTGCAGCACAGATGATAACACATAGACAGGTCCAAATACACTTTCAGTAATGCAAAGATTCATTATTTCGAGAAAGAATTACAGGAAGAGATTAAAAAGAAACTGGAACTGAGACAGAGCACATAGTATGGTAGTATGAAAATGACATCCAGCATTTTGACAGAAAATATTTTAATGCTGATGTGAAAAAGATCAGAAAATGCCTGTGTGATTTCCTGTAAGTCACAAAGGATTTCTGTCTTTTTCCGTTTGTGTTCAGTCAAGATGAAGTTGCTGCTTGTTGTTTCTGCTGTTCTGGCTGTATCCAGCTGTGCCAGCATCTCTCTGGAAGATCTGGAGTTTCACGCCTGGAAGCTCAAGTTTGGTGAGACAGCAGACTCTTTCTCTACTCTTATATTGAAGGTTTTTGTCAGAAGCTCTGATCATGCTTTGTGGTTTTTACAATAATGTCTCAAAGTGAGATTTGTATTCATTAATGATCGATTACACATGATTTTCTTTTATTCTGTTTCTGATATTTCACTTTTCCGACTGGCAGGAAAATCCTATGATTCTCCATCAGAGGAGAGTCACCGTAAGCAGATCTGGCTCACCAACCGCAAACTTGTGCTAATGCACAACATCTTAGCTGATCAGGGCTTCAAATCCTACCGGCTTGGTATGACCTACTTTGCTGACATGGTATGTGTAGAAACAGAAGCCAGTCAGGTTTCAAAATGACACATCAAAGTTCATTATTTGAATAGTCAAATTCAAATTCAAATTTTATTTGTCACGTACACAGTCATACACAGTACGATATGTAGTGAAATGCTTGGACAACTGCTCGTGACCTAAAGAAAACAAAAAAGGAAAAGGCTATGCATAAGATAGGAAATAAATATGAAAAATTAAAAAGGGTAAATTTAACTAGGAAGGAATAAGATAAAATATATAAATTAAAGTTGAAAATAAAATAACTGTACAACAAAATACACAATATACACAATATAGAACTATATAAGAATGTATGAAGAAATATAAATAAATATATACACAATAACAGCAGCTGTAAAAATATTAACTGGAAATGAAGAATATAGTGACCAGTGTTGTGCAATCCACATTATGTCTTGTACAGTGCAAATATGCTTAAAGTGATTTAAGTGATGAAGTGAAAACAATGTCCAGAATGTCCAGTGTGTGTGTAAGAACCATATGTGTGGGTCAGTACTGTGTGGTGGTGTGATTGAGAGACCGTATCGCCTGCGGGAAGAAGCTCCTCCTCAGTCTCTCTGTGTTGGTCTTCAGGGAGCGGAATCGCTTCCCTGACCTCAGCAGAGAGAACAGTCTGTTGTTGGGATGGCTGAGGTCCTTCACGATCTTCCTGGCCTTGGTCCAGCACCGCCTGCTGTAGATTGAGTGCAGGTCAGGGAGCTCGGAGCGGATGGTGCGCTCAGCTGACCGCACAACCCTCTGTAGAGCTCGTCTGTCCTGCATGGTGCTGTTCCCGAACCAGGTTAAGATGTTTCCCGTCAGGATGCTCTCTATGGTGCACGAGTAAAAGTTCCTGAGCACCTTGGAGGGCAGTTGGAAGTCTCTCAAGCGTCTGAGGTGGTAGAGACGCTGTCGGGCCTTTTTCACCACGGTGTTGATGTGACAGGACCATGACAGGTCCTGCCTGCGTGATGTGACCTCCGAGGTATTTGAAGCTGTCCACTCTCTCCACTGGGCACTCGTTGATGACGGGGGTCTGGTAGTTCCTCTCCTGCTTAGTGCTGAAGTCCACTATCAGCTCCTTTGTCTTACTGACGTTTAGAAGGAGGTTGTTCCTCTGGCACCAGTTCACCAGATTCCTAATCTCCTTCAGGTAGGCCATCTCGTTGTTATCAGAGATCAGGCCCACTACGACGGTGTCATCAGTCATCAGTAGTCTTGATTACATTAGCATATAAGGACAAAAACAAATACATTTTGAATTTTAAAAAAACATGAATTTTGTTCTTCTTCATCAGGAAAATGAAGAGTACATAAAGCTGGTTTCCCGGGGCTGCCTCGGCTCCTTCAATGCTTCTCTGCCACGCCGTGGTTCTACCTTCCTCCGGCTGCCTGAAGGTACTGATCTGCCCGACACTGTTGACTGGAGGGATAAGGGATATGTCACTGAAGTCAAGGATCAGAAGATGTGTGGCTCCTGCTGGGCCTTCAGCACAGTAAGTCTATACAGGAATCAGTCTTCCTCGTTTTTGTAAAGCGGGAAACTTTGCTCAACTGTTGTCTGGTTTCAAATTGACTCATTCTTGTTGCAGACTGGTGCACTGGAGGGTCAGCACTTCAGGAAGACAGGAAAACTGGTGTCTCTGAGTGAGCAGCAGCTGGTCGACTGCTCTCAGAGCTTTGGCACCCACGGTTGTAATGGAGGCTGGATGTACTATGCCTTCCAGTACATCAAAGCCAATGGAGGAATTGACACTGAGCAGTCCTACCCTTATGAGGCTAAGGTAAATGGGCAGCAATATGTCAAAAACATATCACGTCAGCTCTCTTGTTGATGTAAATCACTTCTCAACTAGGATGGATCATGCCGTTACAACCCTACAAGTGTTGGAGCCACATGCACTGGCTATGCTTATGTGGAAAAATATGATGAAGAAGCCCTGAAGGAGGCTGTGGCCACCATCGGACCGGTTTCTGTGGCCATTAATGTTCAAGATTCCTTCCGGTTCTATACATCAGGTGCAGACATTAAAACATTGTTTTGAAAGTGCCAAGAAAAATATCTTCAAATTAGAGCTGGGCGATATGAGATTTTTTCATATCACGATATGTTTTTTTTCATTTCAGGCGATAAAGATATCTATCACGATATAAGCCAAATAACTATATTTGTAAGATTTAAATGTGCCGTTGCTCACAAGTAAAATGTGAAATAATCAGCAGCTTGTTTTTAAATATTTATTTCCCATAATAAGTTCAACAGGGTAGATGTACTTAAGGAACATGAGACTTTTTCAGATAAATAAAGGCAAATATTGCAAACTACACAAAAGGCAGCCGCTAAAGCGTTTAAGTTTCAAAATAGAACAAATGAAACAGACTAAATTGTCAATTCCACTTAGAAACAAAGTATTAATTCTAAAAATAAATCTCAGTTTGTTTTACAGAAGAACAGACAAAACTGACTAACTTTTGTCAGTATCAAATAAACTGAGAACTAAAAGGAAATTCTCAATCTCTCCTTGTTGTATAGCTTAGCTTTTCAAACAGTTTTAACAGTTACTTTAGTCTGACAAAAGCTGAATGACGAATTAGCGCTTCCAGTCAGAGACTGAGGCTACGTCCACACATACACGGGTATTTTTGAAAACGGAGATTTTCCGTTTTCGTTTAAAAAAAAAATCCCGTCCACACATAAAGGCAGAAATGAAGGAAAACGCTGCTATGAACATGCCAAAGCAGCAGGTGGAGCTAGATTCCTAACCGTGCAGAAATGTTGGCCAATCAGAAGTCTAGAAGCCTCGTGGGGAAAAGTAAACAAAGCTGGGGCATAGAAGCAGAACCGAGTCGTATGTGTGGAGGGACAGTAACTGTGTATATGTAAGCATTTAAACACTGCAGAGAGTAGAATTAACAGTAACAGTATTGTAGAAGTTCATTTCACCGAAACAATAACGTGGCGCACAGTGTGACGCATGCACCAGTTTATTGTATTTCCAGACTTGCTTTCGGCACAATTTACAGTGCACGCTACTCTGTTTTTTGTCAGACTTGAAATAGCCGAAATACCTTCAAACTACGGAACTTCTATGGCTCTTCCGTTCGACAATCTCTCCGGCATTGGAACCATCATCTGTTTTCTCTTCGGTCACGCTCGGTTGATTTTTCTAGTCGGCACACTCATTTCCTCCATTACCCGCTGGCTGCTTCCCAAACAAACACAGGTGCGGCTTGGCACTTGTGCTGTACGTAACAAGTCACGCGACGTGACGCTGCGGCTGTGATTGGTTCGGCTCTGCGCTACTGAATTTGGATCGGCTGACCTTTTTTTTTTTAAGAGGACAAGAGCGGCGAGGTCTATCGCGATAGCTTAATTTCTCTATCGAGTAAAAGTTATATCGCGATACATATCGTTATCGTTCTATCGCCCAGCTCTACTTCAAATAGTACAAGAACTGAGAAGTGTTTTATTTGTTCTTTACACCTGTCAGTCTAATTCACCTGTATTTAAAGGAGTGTATGATGAACCTGGGTGCAGCAGCACAATATTGAACCATGCTGTGCTGGTTGTGGGTTATGGTACTGAGAATGGACATGACTACTGGCTGGTCAAGAACAGGTAAATACCCACAGGTGACGGTCATATTTGAATTCATGCACTTCATTCCTGCTAACATTCACTGAGTGCTGATGCACAGCTGCATATAAAGGCATCTTATTTGTGGTTTCACAGCGTAATACAGATCATTATGTCGCTGCATGCTGTTCAACTATTAGTGTGAACATAACTGAGTCTTACCTGCTAAATGTTGTTATTTTCTGTCTTTCTGTAGCTGGGGTCGTGGATGGGGACAGATGGGATACATTAAGATGAGCAGGAACAAACTCAACCAGTGTGGGATTGCTAGTGTAGCACTCTACCCTCTGGTCTGAAGTAGTGGAAACAAACTCACCTACATTTGTTATTCCATTTGAACAAAATGTACTCATGTTAATTTTAAACATCTGCTTACTTAAACATTTAAGATGAATCTAAATATATGTGAACATTTAAGATTAATTCAATCCAGGTTAGTGCTAGTCTAGGATTTTCCTCAATGTGGTCAAAATGTATAATTGTATGTCTAAAAAGAAAAAAAAAGTTTTGTATGGAAATATACTTTCTTCTGGTGTTTTATGGAATAACCTTTTAATGACTACAAATACATGTAAAGAAATGAAATATTTCAGACTGAGATGTAAACATTTACTTTTGTGTGTTTCACTTTGTTTCTAGTGTGTAGCTTAATAAGTAAATCAGTCCACTGTGAGGACAGATTTTATGTTTCCAAGAGAATAAAGATGACTGACTGGGCACATGTCAAAGGTCAGTCATGACAGGATTTCTATTTTTCTTTGTCATTTGGAGAGATGATTATGACAGTGTTCACTATTGGGTCACATTATATATATCCAATAATTTACTTTAATTAAAATAAACATTATATATACTTATTAATACGTTTTTGTCACTTTATTACATGTGCTAAGACTATGGCTTATAGGCAGGCTAAGGAATTATAGATTATTTCTGTTAGCACATCATAGCATAGTTCGGCAAGCCTTGTTAAGCAACACTGTTTATCCACATGCCATCTAACAAACTTTCTCTGGTTCCTCCAAACCACCTCAGAGCTCTACAAAAATGATTTGATAGCAAAGAAGACCTTCCACCTGACCTCACTTGTTCACAACATGGCATCATTTGTATGAAACATTGTGTACAAATTTGAAAATAAATGTATATTTTAATTGTTGTCTCAGATACTTGACAACACTTATTAACAAAAGAGTTTTGAGAATGCAGTTTGCACTAGGTTAGGTCCATAATTTGCTGCAAAACACAGTTTTTGTCATTTTTCTTCTCTACACCCCACAGTGGATTTAAAGAGAAAAAGTCAGTATGTGATTGTATTTAATGAAACGTGGTTGAAAGCTTTGTTAAATTCCCCAAACTTGTTCATGAATCTCCGCCATGTGACAAGTTCACCTTCTTTATGCCCACAATGTCCAAAAGTCCTTATTAACTCATATGCAGTTATTTCTGGTCAGTTGATGTGTTAGAAGCCAATTTAAACACTGTGCAGTTTCCAATTATTCCCTGCATATGCATGTGTCTACATGCCATAGTGTTTTTTATTATCATTTATTTTCAAAAACAGAACAGGACAGAAAAGGGCATGAAAGGTTTAACCTGAAATTCTCTGAAAGTGTAATTCTGGGAACTGCTGCGGGAAACATGGATGACAGTAACGGCACAAAAACTCTTTACGTTAAAACATGTTTCACAGGTTGCACTGGTTTATAGTTCAGTTTATGGACTTCACATAGTTCAGCCGCTTCTTTTCTTCCTCTGCTCATGTTTCATGTTTAAAATCACTCAGTTATACAGACATAATAAATGATATGAGTATTCAGAGTGATCACGGTTCAGCCTTTTATGTTGTGCATATCGTTTTCAGCTGCTTATGTTTTCTTATACCACAGCCTTTTTTGCTCATATGAATAGATGATGGTGACAATATATATAAGTCTAGAACTGTTTTGTCACTGAGCTCAGAAACACATGCAAAACAAAGAAGACCAGGAAATGCTGATTATCATGAAGGTTCCTCCACCTAATCACCTCATCAATACTTCAGTGAACAACTGTGAGAGGTGTAAAAAACATTACATTATAACAGGATTGGACCAAAAGAGGTGAAACTGAATATGCCAATGGAAGATCAAGCAGAGGTATCTATGCCACATTTCAAAAGGGAAAAAGACATTTTCAATGAATAAAATCAAATTTCAGAGTAGTGGCATTTAGAGAATAGTGTTTTTAAGTAGACCAATGGGAGAAATATACCACAGCCTTTTTTGTCCGTTTGAATAGTCACAATATATATCAGTCTAGGACTGTTTTGTCACTGAGCCCAGAAACACCTGCAAAAACTTTGTGAGACCAAAGAAGACCAAGAAATGCTGATTATCATGAAGGGTCCTCCACCTAATCACTTCAGTGAACAACTGTGAGAGGTGTAAAAAGCCAGACGTTCTGTGAAATCTTAACATTGTCAAATCCTGCAACAAGCTACTGAAACGCTGATCATGTCCTCCTGATGATTCATGACACTTAAGTTCCTTGTTTTTGCTGAGGCTGAATAAAACGTTTTCTTAAATTTGTGGCACTGTGCGATCCTCCTCTTAATGTATAGCTCCACCTTTTTCTATTTCAGTGCCTAACATTCCTTCTCTTCTTTGAAGAGCTGCTGAAAAACACCTGACTGACTGGTATGAAGTAATCATAACAGGTAGTCAGGTAAATAAAAACACCTCTCTGACACAGAGCTGTATCTCACACAGGTGGTTATTCTTCAGTCTTCACAACAGACAAAGACAACGAGACAGGTAAGTAGCTGCAGCACAGATGATAACACATAGACAGGTCCAAATACACTTTCAGTAATGCAAAGATTCATTATTTCGAGAAAGAATTACAGGAAGAGATTAAAAAGAAACTGGAACTGAGACATAGAGCACATAGTATGGTAGTATGAAAATGACATCCAGCATTTTGACAGAAAATATTTTAATGCTGATGTGAAAAAGATCAGAAAATGCCTGTGTGATTTCCTGTAAGTCACAAAGGATTTCTGTCTTTTTCTGTTTGTGTTCAGTCAAGATGAAGTTGCTGCTTGTTGTTTCTGCTGTTCTGGCTGTATCCAGCTGTGCCAGCATCTCTCTGGAAGATCTGGAGTTTCACGCCTGGAAGCTCAAGTTTGGTGAGACAACAGACTCTTTCTCTACTCTTATATTGAAGGTTTTTGTCAGAAGCTCTGATCATGCTTTGTGGTTTTTACAATAATGTCTCAAATGAAAGAAAACCTTTTAGCTTAAATTAAAATTTTATTCATTAATGATCGATTACACATGATTTTCTTTTATTCTGTTTCTGATATTTCACTTTTCCGACTGGCAGGAAAATCCTACGATTCTCCATCAGAGGAGAGTCACCGTAAGCAGATCTGGCTCACCAACCGCAAACTTGTGCTAATGCACAACATCTTGGCTGATCAGGGCTTCAAATCCTACCAGCTTGGTATGACCTACTTTGCTGACATGGTATGTGTAGAAACAGAAGCCAGTCAGGTTTCAGAATGACACATCAAAGTTCATTATTAGAATAGCCATGAGTAATTTTGGTTACAATTTGCATACAGCAGCTTTAAAAATTACAGTTAAACCCCAATAATTTTGCTCTTCTTCATCAGGAAAATGAAGAGTATAAACAGCTGGTTTCCCGGGGCTGCCTTGGATCTTTCAATGCTTCTCTGCCTCGCCGTGGCTCTACCTTCCTTCGCTTGCCTGAAGGTATTGATCTGCCCGACACTGTTGACTGGAGGGATAAGGGATACGTCACTGGTGTCAAGGATCAGAAGCAGTGTGGCTCCTGCTGGGCCTTCAGTGCAGTGAGTATATTGGAATCAGTCTTCCTACTGTTATAAAGCGGGAAACTTTGCTCGACTGTTGCCTTTTTAAAAACTGACTCATTCTTGTTGCAGACTGGTGCACTGGAGGGTCAGCACTTCAGGAAGACAGGAACGCTGGTGTCTCTGAGTGAGCAGCAGTTGGTCGACTGCTCTGGCTCATATGGAAACATGGGCTGCAATGGAGGCTGGATGGACTCTGCTTTCCGGTACATCAAAGCCAATGGAGGAATTGACACTGAGGCATCCTACCCTTATGAGGCTGAGGTAAATCGACAGCAGTATGTCAAAACCATATCACACCAAATCTCTTGTTGATGTAAATAATTTCTCAATTAGGACTGGATCTGTCGCTATAACCCTGCAAGTGTTGGTGCCACATGCAGCGGCTATGTTGATGTGAGTAAATTTAATGAAGAAGCCCTGAAGGAGGCTGTGGCCACCATCGGACCGGTTTCTGTGGCAATTGATGCTTCTCAGATGTCATTCCAGTTCTATACATCAGGTGCAGACATTGAAACACTGTTTTGGAAGATTTCTTCAAATAGTACAAGAACTGAGAAGTGTTTTATTTGTTCTTTACACCTGTCAGTCTAATTCACCTGTATTTAAAGGAGTGTATGATGAACCTGGGTGCAGCAGCCTAGAATTGGACCATGGTGTGCTGGCTGTGGGTTATGGTACTGAGAATGGACATGACTACTGGCTGGTCAAGAACAGGTAAATACCCACAGGTGACGGTCATATTTGAATTCATGCACTTCATTCCTGCTAACATTCACTGAGTGCTGATGCACAGCTGCATATAAAGGCATCTTATTTGTGGTTTCACAGCGTAATACAGATCATTATGTCGCTGCATGCTGTTCAACTATTAGTGTGAACATAACTGAGTTTTACCTGCTAAATGTTGTTATTTTCTGTCTTTCTGTAGCTGGGGTCTTGGATGGGGACAGATGGGATACATTAAGATGAGCAGGAACAAACTCAACCAGTGTGGGATTGCTAGTGCAGCAAGCTACCCTCTGGTCTGAAGTGGTGGAAACAAACTCAGCTACATTTGTTTTTCCATTTGAACAAAATCTACTCATGTTAATCTTAAACATTTGTTTAGATAAACCGAAATATATGTGAACATTTAAGATTTATTCAATCCAGGTTAGTGTTAGTCTAGGATTTTCTTCAATGTGGTCGAAATATATAATTTTACGTACAAAAAGTAAATAAACTGAGATGCAAACATTTACTTTTGTCTGTTTCACTTTGTTGCTCGTGTGTAGCTTAATAAGTGGATCAGTCCACTGTGAGGACAGATTTTATGTTTCCAAGAGAACAAAGATGACTGACTGAGTAACCCCCAGTTTCTCCTCTAGATGGATGATATTTTTGTTTAATTGAGACACATATTGACAATAGTTATTGCATAATTGACATTAAATGATACAATAGTATGCAAAACATTAAGTGATGCACATTTGGCTGTTCCTTTTCAGAACTAAAGTTAGCACATGTTACAGGTCGGTCATGACAGGCGAGAGATTAAAGAGATTTAAAAACAAATAAAAGAACTTAAAAAATGATCCTAAAACATACAGGTTGCCAGTGGAGTGAAATTAAAATGGTGGTGATGTGCTCAGACTTTTCTGCTCCAGTTAAAAAACGCTCTGCAGCATTTTGCACAACCTGCAGACTTCTAATGGATGCATCACATAATTGCCATTAAATGATACAAAACATTAAAATGATTAAATGATGCAAAACATTCGTAATGCACATTTGGCTCTTCCTTTTTGGAATAAAAGTTAGCACATGTCAAAGGTCAGTCATGACAGGATTTCTATTTTTCTTTGTCATTTGGAGAGATGATTATGACAGTGTTCACTATTGGGTCACATTATATATATCCAATAATTTACTTTAATTAAAATAAACATTATATATACTTATTAATACGTTTTTGTCACTTTATTACATGTGCTAATACTATGGCTTATAGGCAGGCTAAGGTATTATAGATTATTTCTGTTAGCACATCATAGCATAGTTTGACAAGCCTTGTTAAGCAACACTGTTTATCCACATGCCATCTAACAAACTTTCTCTGGTTCCTCCAAAACACCTCAGAGCTCTACAAAAATGATTTGATAGCAAAGAAGACCTTCCACCTGACCTCACTTGTTCACAACATGGCATCATTTGTATGAAACATTGTGTACAAATTTGAAAATAAATGTATATTTTAATTGTTGTCTCAGATACTTGACAACACTTATTAACAAAAGAGTTTTGAGAATGCAGTTTGCACTAGGTTAGGTCCATAATTTGCTGCAAAACACAGTTTTTGTCATTTTTCTTCTCTACACCCCACAGTGGATTTAAAGAGAAAAAGTCAGTATGTGATTGTATTTAATGAAACGTGGTTGAAAAGCTTTGTTAAATTCCCCAAACTTGTTCATGAAGCTCAGCCACGTGACAAGTTCACCTTCTTTATGCCCACAATATCCAAAAGTCCTTATTAACTCATATGCAGTTATTTCTGGTCAGTTGATGTGTTAGAAGCCAATTTAAACACTGTGCAGTTTCCAGTTATTTGCTACATATGCATGTCTAGTATGGGGCAGGACAGGATGGTTTCAACATGAAAACTGAACGTGTATGAATGGGAACTGAGGAAGGAAACATATGGATGACAGTAACAGCAAAAATACTTTTTACATTAAAACATGTTTGACAGGCTCCACTGGTTTAATAACAAGCTAAAGTTTCAGTTTATGACCTTTACACAGTTCATCTGCTTCTTTTCTTCCTCTGCTCATGCTTCATATTTAAAATCACTCAGTTATGTGGACATAATTAACCTTTAATTTGATTCTTTTTACAAATCTGTCTGACCTTTGCTCATCATCACTACAGGTACACATAAAATTGTATCTTATAGATTGTTTTCTTTTTTAAAAGAAATGAAGAATGAATAATAGAGCGTGAGACATTAAGACACAAATTTAGACAAAAAAAACTTCTCTTTAACCTTTGTCGCACATTCTTGATGAGATTTTCCAAGATAAGGTGATGAGTTAGTTTTAAGAACAAGCAGGGCCTGTGGATTTCTGGTGGTAGTGATTGATGACTGACAGCTTCTTTCTGTTGTGCTCTGTTTACACTGAGGACGTCTGAGCAGAAATGAAGATTGAAGAGCCTAAAACCAACTGACACACATAGGTGGTTCAACACTCACGCAGACACTTTGTGTGGTGCTCACTAAAATCTCAATAATTCATTGTTATTTGGCATTTGCACAAAAGAAAACGTTACAGTTCTTGGCTTAAAATTTTGAAAGCAAGTTTTTGAAATCACAATCATCAATGTCAAGAAGCATCACTGCATGTGACTACAGGCTTACGTCACAGCAACATTGAATGTGAAAAATGATTCTGATTATATTGTACCTAGTTAATTGTGTTATTTTATTTCTAATCTACAGTATTTCTTCACCTACAAGGGTTACTGTTCTCCTGAAGGGAGGGAGTGTATTCGTTTCTGTTTGTTTGTTAGCAAGCGACCCTTTATGGTGTTCAAGCTATCATTTTAGAATATTGTGTGATGGTAGATACAATTAACAGCTCGAGCTGATTTAATTGAGGTAAAAACTGGATCATGGTTAGATCGGATGTGAAAATCAGGAAATATTTTATGTTACCCACAATTTTTGTGGATTTCTGGTAGACTTCACAACAGAATGCTGACGTCAGCATGCTGCAACAAAAACATCGACATTTTATTATATTGTTATCATTTTAGTGTTTTGGTTTATTTAAAAAATAGGATTTCAAAAAACAAGACAATAGGATTTTTACCAGTGTTGCTTAACACAGCAAAGTGCTGCACATCAACAGAAAGAAAGAAACATTTAAGCTCATGTCAGCATGCATCAGAGAGATGACACAATGTGCCTTCAGTGTCACTGCCAAACATACCTGACTGCTTAGAATTCACTGAATCTATATTCCCGTCACCTGTAGCAGGAAGAATGTTGACAACAAAAACTGTCTTTACGGGATCACATGTTTGACAGGCAACACCGGTTGAAGTTAGAGGTTCACTTTTGTTTTTTTTTACCTTGTTAGATTTGTATTGTTGATTGTCATTTATGCTTAGAAATATTTACTTCTATATGCTTAGAGTTTTGTAATTAGTTGTAGATTGGTAGAGGTTTTGATCCTTGATAGTCTGCAAACTTTGTGTGTATTAGACAGCACTTTGGGAGCATGAGAGGTCATACCGTGTCTTATTGTTTTATGATTAACGTAGTTGCGTCTGTTCTAGTCTAAGTGCTCTTTGTTTAGATGAACTGCAGGACTTCCTCACCGTGTTATCTAGGATGAACCATCTAGGGTGAGGGGGAGGCTACCCTCTTCCTGACCAAGGATGTTTGACCCTTTGATCAGCAGTCCACACACACACACACACACACACACACACACACACACACACACACACACACACACACACACACACACACAGGCAAGGTACTCTTTGTGTGTATGTAGACGTCATATGTTAATGAACTTATGCATATTCATGTAACCTCAATAAAAGAACAGTGGTACGGGAGAACGGACGAGAGCAACTGGGGTCAAGCGAAGGAACGGTGCCTGTCCGGTTCTCTCCCGTGCACGAGAAACATGAAGAAGCTTGCCTACTTGTGTCTTGCTTTGCAGTGTAATTATATTGCCTTCAACGTTCCAGCGGATGGGTTCAAGCTACAAACCTATCATACCTCTCTTATTTGAGGTGCATAATCACTCACTTTCACTGATAAATACATAATCTGAACTATGATTAATTAAGGTGACACAGTTAAGACTTGCTTATGTTGGTGTGCAGATCATCTTCGTTGTTAATAAAACTTAATTTCACTTTGCAGATCAGTCTGACCTTTGCTCCTCATCACTACAGGCACATATAAAATAATGTTACACAGTTTGTTTGTTTTTTTCCTTTTTTGTTTTTAACCTTTACTTGCAAAACCAGAACAAAAGTAGAACAAAACCCAATAAGATCAGATGTGTTTTGTTTAGATGGATGGATTTTTCACTTTTTCAACATTTGGAGATGGTGGCACTGGTGCAGTGACAGTATGACGATGCAGAGGTTTGGAGTGGGAGACAAAGTTGGAGAGGCAAGGGTGAGATAGCTTGGACATGAGCAGAAGAGGGATAATTAATACACTGGTCAAAGGGTTTTGAAAATGGAGCTGCCAGGCAGGAGAAAAAGAAGAACATCACAGAGAAAATTAATGGATGTAGTGAAGGAGTCCATGCAGAGGACTGGGTTGACAAAGATGCTTGGGATAGGGTGAGATTGAGGGAGATAACCTGCTGTGGTCACCAGCAGAAATAATAACAAGAAGAAGAAGAAGACAAATTCTTCATCATTCCCTTAGTTGCACATCCTGGATCCCAGATTGAATCAAGTTAAGCACATTCACACAACAATCCCTCATATATAGTACATGCCTCACACAGGCTGTCTGTGTAGGCTCCCAGGCATTACGGTCATGGTAATCTAAAGAGTGACTACACTTCTTTAAGTTTCTGGAAGACGTTCACTTATAAAAGAAGCCTTTTCAGCTATAAAACCAAATGGTAGAGAGTCCCAGATTCTTAACCCTAGTGGGAGTTGTCCCTTAAGAGGGTCCTTGACCAACTACTGATCATATGACTGATCACATAAGCCAAGGTATGAAAAAGAGTATGGGTCATTATCAGCAGAGGTCTTGGGTAAAACCATTGTGAGACCCTGCCTCACCCTGAGATCAACTTCTGAAACCATCTAGAGAGAAACAGAGTAACAAATGGAACAACATGAGATCAGGCGATGGGAAGTGAAACGTCTTTAAGAAACTTACAGAACTCCACTCAATTAGAAAAACTCTTACAGTCCTTTCTAAACATCCATAAATGGTCTGTTCTGTTACATATTATAAAACATGAGCTCTATCAAATGTCCCCTTTTCTTGAATAAGAAAATGTTTTTGAAGTTTTGTCTTGTGTCAAAATATGGAAAATCTTTACTTAGTGTATATGCACACAGGTCAGCACAAAGTATGCTAAAGAAAATCATGTTCACTGAAATAAAAACGTGGGAAAATTCACGTCCAGAAACACAAATCAATAAAACTCTGATTTTATGGTCCACAAGTCTGTCTCAGCATCTTGCATTTGGGTCTTAACTTCTTTACAT